GAGAGAAACGACTGCTGCCCCCTACGTTCTGCTGAGTGCACTCACTCTCTGACAACATCATCCTCACTGCTGAGTTTGCTGCTGCCTTTTTTAAAAAATCTTCTTTCCTTTAAATTATTGTTTTCATTATTTCCCCCATGAGAACTGAATAAAAGTGCCCCGATGACTGATGGATGTCAGTGACGTCCAGTCTCCCACAGGGGGCAGGAGCCCTCACCTGCTGTTGAACTGCTTTCACCGACCGGGAATAAAAATCCTCCACACAGAAGTCGGCCAATTCTGTGGAGAAAAGTAAAAAAAATCTATTTAATGAGGATGATTAAAAACAGATGGAACGAGTGAGTCCAGTCAAACGGAGGAGGAGGAGAAACTCAATTACTCCTCACACTTCCTGAGCTGTGTTGAAGAAAATGAATAATAAAAATGCAATGAAATATGGATCAAATGTCAAGAGGCAAAAAAATGGAAGTGGATGGAAAAAAAGGCTCTTGCTGAATAAAAACACTCTGGTTTTAGAAGTTTGTTGGACTGGAAGCTGAGAAAAAAAAACATTCCTGTCACTGAGTGTGCAGCAAAGAGGAGACAAGATGAAAAGTCCTCCAGTAAAATATGGGATATTATATTTTATTTCCATTTTTATCTCACACAAACAAAGAGCTTTTCTGATTCTCATTATTATCATTGGACTTCACTAAAATAAAGACGTTTAAATTAAATGTACAGTTTGACATGACATGACGGTACTTTCCATTTCCTCTGTGTCGTCACCTCGTAACAGCTGACTGATTCATGATTGGATGTCACGCTGCCGTCACATTTAAACTATTTTACTACAGGGGACACCACAGGGAACTGTTCTGGGACCATTCCTTTCCAGATGTTTCCTTTTGTTTTTCATCATCGATGAGGACTGAACCTTTTTCAAATCTTTCCCACTGGTCTTTCAGACAAGTACAAATCTGTTTCCTTCTAATCAGTAGGTTTTCAGCGACACATGGTAAATTCATCAGCGACACCAGGAGTGGAGCAGGAGGATGTGAGCAGCTGTTCTGCTCTCAGCGTGGTAAACGCAGCTTTAAGGCCACTGTGCTCCACAGCTTTATGGATTAGTTCACTGTCACCTCCACTCCTCAAATCCTTCCATCCTGGTTACAGGCCTCGGCGCCCTCCACTGGTCTTAACAACACTCCTGTATTAATAAGCAATTTAGCCCACAGTCTGGACACAGCACACGGGCTGAATCCCAACTACACAGATAAATCAGAGGAAGTGGGTCGAAGCCCAGACCGGGAGCCTTGTTGGGTCAGGACCTTCACTGCACACTGTCTCAGAGCTCATGGTCCAGGAATCCTAATGAGCCGACAAGACAAACAGGAGAGGACGGGGTAGGGAGTGGGGGGAGGGCAGTCAGAGTCAATGAAGAGCTGACGCTGTGACCTGCTCTGGTATGCTCCAGACGCTGCTCCCTCAGACGTGGACTTCTGAGTAAAGGTGAGGGGAAGTGGAAGGTTCTGGAACAGTTTGGTTCAGGAAATTAAAAAGCCTGGTGTTTTTATTAGTACACCGTATTCCTCTGTCACTGTTCTAAACTTCAGCTACACTGACCCTAAAAGTCAGCCACAAAGAAACCAAATCAGTTAGAGTGTCCGCTCCGTATGAACGACCGTGAAACGCCGTCTACGACGGACGCTAGTTACAGCCGCTGGAAAAACAAAAAAATGTTAAGTTGGTTCCACTTTCTAAACCACTTTTTCTTCCACACTAAAGACCAAATTGCTAATTTTAGCTCACAGGAACGGGAGCCGCTGCTCCACCGCTGCCTCGTCTGGCAGGTTTGCATCACTTTGTTCAACCTAAAGTGGAGAATTACAATTAGTGATGTCGCAAATGAACTCCCTCAAGGAGGCAGCAGTGGATTTGAACCTCCTCTCAGCCATGATGTGAAATCTCTGATTTTCTCCATGGACTTTGGTGCAGAGAGCATCAGCTGATGCTGCAATACACACAGAAAAGTTCCTCCGAAAAGTACTGCAGTGTTGTTCCTTTGGAGACACACGGGCAGTATGTGTGTGTGTGTGTGTGTGTGTGCTTGTTGTCCACAGAAGTTTCTTTGGTTGGAGGCTCTGAACAGAGTGTTTTAATTGGATGAGCAGCTCGTTATGTTCCTACAAACCAAACATGATGAAACCTGATGTTTCTGGCTGCTGCAACTTCAGTCGCTTCAAAACGCCACCAACCACGGTTTGGTTGGTGGCGTTGGTGGGTTCATCTCTGTGCTGAGATCCGTGACAAAAAGATGAATTGTCCTCTAAGTGTTTAAAGTTCTGGACTTTTACAGCACTGCCTCTGATCTTCAGCTTAGCCTCAAATCCATTGTGATTCTTCTTCTTCTTCTTTTTCCACGCGGGTGTGAATCCCTGTGTTGAAATTAGACTTTGAAGCTCCTGTGGGCGTGTGGAGAAAGGAGCTCAGCCAGGAGCAGATGCAGAAAAGCCTTTTCACACTGGCTGCACAAAAGAACTCGTGTCCTTGTGCCGCGACTTAACGGTGGCAGCTCTGAGCTGCTGAAGCTGCTGCTGGTGCTGAAGCTGCTGCCGCTGACAGTGCGGCCTCTTGATCTGCTGG